GAGCGCAAGAGAGCCCCCCCCACATCCAGGGCAGGTAGTCCTCCAAGCCCAGAGCAGCCACCTCCCAGTGCCATGCCAGGCACACCCACAGCCACAGGGGCAAAGGTTGTGGCCTCTCCACACGGCCAGTGCCACGGGCTCCGAGCCCTCGCCCCCCCCTTTACCTCCGTGGCTCGCTTGGCCCTGCTGGGGGCGCCCACGGAGCCGAGGATCCGGCCGGCCGCCACGTCCCTTCTCAGCTGCTCCTCCGTGAGGGACCAGGCGTTCTGCTAGGGTGGGACAGGAGGGGGCTTGAAGGGCAGCCGGCCGGAGGGGAGCCACGCAAGGCATGCCACGGGACATCAGGTCCCAACGCCCCCGGTCCTGGGTCTCTGCGTGCCCTCCCCCCCAGGGGGGCCATGCTGGGGTGGGGTGGGGGGGAAAGGCAGGAGGAAACACAAAAGTCACGCCAGGAAGCCACTCCCCCCAGGAGGGCAAGAGGGATTGGGGAGGAGACAGATCTCAAGTTTGGGGGGGGGGGAGGCAAGTCACAGGCTCAGAGGCACAAATGGGGGAGGGGGGAAGCAAATTCCGTCCAGACCTTTCACGATTGCTCAACACGACACCAACTATGAGGTGGGACATCAGCCTATGTGTCTGGAGCCACAGACACGAATCCCTGCCATGGCTGACGTCAGTCGTTACGGAACACAGCCTCCAACTGGCCAAACAGCCACAGCATTTTGGCAACATGCAAATGAGCAGGCAGCTGCCCCCCCCCCCAGCCTCTCACTCCCCGCCTGCCTGGCTGGCTTGCCTGCCACTGACGGCCCACGTCTTCCTCGGGCTCTGACACCCAGCATGCCTCCCCCCACCCCCGTGGACCCCAGGCCACGCCCCAAATCAGCACCACAGAAGAGGCCCCCCCGCCCCCCCAAATGCACCATGCTCCACTCCAGGGAGGCCTCTCGCCTGCGTACCTTGTGGGCACGACGCATCCGAGCAAAATAGGTTTCCCTCTGCCCATCGATTCAGGCAGAAGAGAAGGAAGGCAGCGAGGAGGACAGAGAGAGAGAAGAAAGGGGTGAGCAGGGCAGGGACCACCTGAGGCCTCCCACGGGACATCGGGGCAGGGGGGGCAGGTCTACGTCCCTCCGGCTTCCCTTATAGATGTTGGGAGGCTCCTGCTGGTGGCTGCTCCCTCCACATCTCTTTCAGCCCACCAGTTTAGAACAGGCCTTTGAAGGCACACCCGAGGGTCCTACTACCACCCCAGCATCCTGCTTCCCAGAGCAGCCAAACAGGTGTACCCTGGAAGGTGCACAAGAAGGAAATAAAGGCAGGAGCCCCCCCCCCAAAAAAAACCCCTGCTGCCCAGCAGCAACCGGCACCCAGCAGTATACTGCCTCTGAAGAGGGAGGTTCACGTAGCCATCACACCACACCACACCACACCCAACCGCCCTCCCATCAGACGGGGTCCCCGTCTAAAGTCGACTAAATCCAGAGGCCATCGGTAAGTCCTGCGGCTACGAATTCTGTAAGTGAAATATGTGACAAAATACTTTCCTCAGTCCCGTATCTCCTTCCCCAGAGCTCTGCCCGACATGCCCTCCCTGATTCTTACATGACTGCAGAATTGGAATCTAAGCCCACTCCGGACACTACAAAAGGTGCCGCGTCTTCATGCAGAAGAAGAAGAGTTGGTTTTTACACCCTGCTTTTCTCCACCCCAGGGATTCTCCAAGCAGTGTACAGTCGCCTTCCCCTCCTCTCCCCCAACACCGTCACTTGGAGCATCACTCCAGTCAACCTCCAGAACTCCCTGCCGCTAGAAGTTGTCAGGGCCAATGGCACAGAGAGCTTGGAAACAGCAGGGTTTGATCCTCCCATGGAGGGTGAGTCAAGCAGTTACTAAGGGCCACATGACACCTAGGAATAAATCCCTGTTGTTCAGACATATGAGCGGTGAAGAGACAAACATAGCTGCTTTGAACCCTTTCCAAGAATATAAATATCTTAATAAACAACTGGGGCAGTCATCTCCATCACAGCCTGCTTGTGCCTGCCTGCCAGCCTGCCGGCACAGGCGATGCTGCCAGAAGTCTTGTGCCGGGGCCAGGAAGTGCCCCCGTGGCTCATCCCTCCTCTCTTCCTCCCTCCACCTCCCAAAGAGGTCGAGGGAGTCTGCATTATCCCTCCTCTCTCTCTCTCTGGCACTCAGCTGGCAACTCAGCCTTTGCTTGAGGCAGAACAGACTGAGTGCGGCCAGTATCTGCTCCACTCCACGCCTGGAGGATGTCCTCCAGCAAAAGAGCAGGCTGGCTTTCTAGCCTTGTGGGGCTGTATGTGTGCCTGCACAGCTGCCGTGCGACCACTTTACTTGCTACGGTTTCCCCCACCAAAGGAGCCCAAGAAGAGCAGAGGAGACTGCACTCCCCCCGTAGTCATCCTTCAAGAACTCCCCTCCCAACAATTTCCTGGAAAGAAGCAGGAGCCGTGACACGGAGAAACTCCCACGGGGCTCTGTGGCTGAGCGTGTGCTTTGCCGGCAGAAGGTCCCCTGTTCGAGCTCCAGTTCGGGAGATCTCCAAAGGCAGGGCTGAGAGCGCCCCTGCCTGCCCATCTGGCCAGGCAGCGAGCGGGCTGTGTGGACCGATGGTCTGACCTGGCATAAGCAGCAGTGATCGGCCTTCCCGCTCTCACCTGTGCCCACAGCTCAAGGTGGGTGATGAGAGGGTCAGCTCTTGCTCCCCAGCCCCTGCCACACAGGGCTTACCTTGTCTCCCAGGTAGACCTCCGGCAGTTGCCAGTAGTAGGATTCCTGCCCCAGCTGCCCAAAACGGCCGTAGGAGAGCTGAGGACCCTCGGCCGACATCTCCACGGTGAAGCCGGTCTGGATGCGGGTGTTGTGCTGGCGATTGACCAGGGCAAACCCCTGGGTGTTCCCGGGGAGGAAGGGGCTGGTGACCTGTGAGGAAGGGCAGAGGGGGGTTAAGAAGCCCAGCAGGCCGGCAGGTGAGGTGAGTCCAGGAGAGAAGGACGCAGCCGCTTACCAGGTCCCGGTGGTAGGAAGAGCTGGTGCACTGCTGGGTGACTCCCATGCAGAAGCAGGGCAGGCAGCCGTCCCGGTTCTCCGCGCTCAGGTGGAAGTGGTGGGCCCGGCAGCTGCTGCAGGAGGGTCCCTCCACGTGGGCCTGCGACAAGAGGCAGAGGTGGAGGGGGCAACACTTCCGGCCACAGTGGCCCAACGCGGCGCAGGGAGACGACGGCTCTGCCTCCCGGGCGAACGGGCCTTGGGCTGAAGGGAACCGGGGGGGGGGGAGAACCCCCGGAGCAAATCGGGGAGGGGGAGGAGTGAAACCCCCTCCAGCAGAGGAAAAGAGGAGTTTGAAGGGACAGAAGCAGCAGAGCAGACAGCGGCTGATGGGAAACAAAGGGGCCGCAAGAAGTGGGTACGTTGGAGGCAGGGCGGGGATGGGGGGCTGGCACCATGCTGACCTGCGTGCCTCTGCTTCTCAGGTGGGGAGGAGGACGGCCAGGCCCTCCCACCATTTCCCTCCCTCTTATCTCCCCCCCCACCTCCCTGTGCAGACCGAGAGTGGGAGGCTGCCTCACCTTACACTGGCACTGCCCGCTGGCATCACACCGGCTGCTGAGGCTGCCCAACGGGTCACACTGGCACTGGGCACCTGGTTCTGCAGAAGGGGGGGGAGCTGAGGCCAGTCTCCTGGGGCACCTTCACTCCACAGACCTAGCCAGGGAACTTCTGCCTCCTCCCCACAGTTTTATCCCCCCCCCCAACAAGGCTTAGGTGACCAGATACTCAAGCCCCACCCACCAACACGGAGGACCTTCCACATCTGCAAAGACAGCTGCAGAAATGGCAGGGCACTTTGTACATGCTCAGAAACACACTCCTTTTTGTAGTTACTTCATATGTTCCCAGACTGAGCACTGGCTCACAGTTTTTTGTCTTGGCTCAGCGAGGAAGTCTCCAGAGCAAACTAACTCATGCAGCAGCCAAACCGCTCCCTCACAACTTTAATGCCAGGAGCTCAGAAAGTAGAATTTTTGCTCACGAGACTCCACAGCTGAGAGGGAGCATTATTCCCCATCCCACAACTGCTGCAACCAAATCCTTCTCCCCCCCCTGGGGATTCTTCTCAGGGAGCTCCAGAAACGGAGAGTTCCGGAAACCCGGCCTCTGAGTCCGGACCTCAGCGCTCCCCCCCCCCCACCTCAAAGAGCTCACCTCTGCAGGGCTGGCCCGAGGCGGGGTTGCCCACGTAGCCAGCAGCACACCTGGCCAAAGAGAAGAGGCTTTGTTAACGACACCCCCCGGGTTGTCTCCATGGCTCTCTACCCCCAGCAGAGTAGCTGAAGAGGAAGAGCTCAGCGAGGGCAGCCCAGGGCCCGGCTTCCAGCCCCCCCCCCCCGCCTCACAAGAGCAAGGCAGGGACAGCCAGAGAGGCCCCCCTGGTCAGCTCCACAGAGAGGGAAAGGCTGCCCCAGAGCAGGGAGGGGGCTGGATCAGAGCGAGGAGCCACCTGGGGTGGGGTGGGGTGGGGTGTGGCATAGCTGCGCCGGCCAGCTTACCTCTCACACTGACGGCCAACATAGCCAGGGTGGCAGGAGTCACACGTGGGCTGCCCGTCCGTGTCCAGGAAGCATGTCTTGGTGGCCCTGGCAGAGGGGAAGGGCGGGGGTTAGAGCGGTCCACTCCGGCCCTTGAGGGGCGAGGAGGACGGCGGGCTAGGCTGAAAGGAAGGCAGCACCTACTGGCTGGCGGAGTAAGGTCCCTGGCACGGACACGGCTGACAGTCTCCGGGGCTCCCACGCCTGGCGTCCCCGTAAAAACCTGGCTGGCAGCGTTCACACCGGGGCCCTTCCGTGTTGTGCTGGCAGTTCTGGAAGGTTGCGGGGGGGGGGGAATGCTTTTATTAAGAGGGCTGTCCCGAATCAGAAGGATCTTTGTTCACAAACCGTATGAACGTGAGCAAATTAATCCCTCGAATTAGCGTGCCCAAACAACAGTATGACTGGCCCAAAAAATCACTTGGCTTCGTCTTCAGATGACTCATCATAGCAGAAGAAGAGACAGCCGCCCTTTCCTCACACGTATGGATGGGTATCTTTCCAAGGATGGGGCTCAACCCCTGCGATATTTTAAAAAGTACTCCCATTTTTATAAAACTAACAACCTGCCAGTATCAGCAGCACATTTCCAATAAATTGCAGCATTTTTGATTGAATAACCTCACCCATCCATTTCACTAAGCTTTGCTCATTTACATAAGAACATAAGAGATGCCAATGTTGGATCAGGCCAAAGGCCCCTCCAGTCCAACACTCTGTATCACACAGTGGCCAAAAATACCAGGGGCCATCAGGAGGTCCAGCAGTGGGGCCAGGACATTAGTCCTCCCACTGTTGGCCCCCCCAAGCACCAAGAAGACAGAGCATCACTTGCCCCAGAGCCCCTATCTATACCTTTCCCACCTGCCTCAGCTGAGTTCTGGCTGGCAGCCTCTCCTGCACTTCTAAGTTCTCATGATGCCGTGACCTCCCCCTGCTGCACCAACCCCCCTCAAACGTAACCCAGGGAGGCCACCTGGGCATCATGTGGGGGGGGGGGGCTGGCGCAGTCACAGTTTACAGTTCAGTTTATTGTAATTAGCCATTGGCCATTGCAAAATTACAAAACACAAATTGAGAACAAGCTATAGGTTAATAGTCAGAATATACAAAAATACCAGAGATCAGTAACAAAATAGAACTAATTTAATACAGTAGCCTGAATGATGCCCCTTCCCAATGACACCTTGGGACGTATATTCTTTGCAGCGAGGGCAAATCATGAAACTTTATGAGAGACATATGCATCAATGTCAGGTAACAAAAATGAATTTTTTTCCTCAACTGGGTAAGCACTAAGACCAGATAAAATACCTGCTAAAAATTTAGCCCTCGGACTAGAATACAGTGGGCAAAAGAGAATATAGTGAGGTAAATCCTCAAGTTCGTGGGTACCACAAATACATAGACGATGGGCCAATGGAGTTTGATTGAACCGGCCCTCCAAAACTGCTGTTGCCATTGATTGGAACCGTAGAGAGGTAAAGGATGCTCTGAGTACGTGTTTAGAGATATTAACTAGGTATAGAGTCCTAGTGTGGTCCGATTTAACTAAGTTGTACCATGGTGCTGCTTTTGATTTTAATATCAGAGGGCGGTCTAGCCGAGCGTCGAAGTCATAAATCCAGTTACTAAATTGGGATTTATCAACTGATATTCCCAAAAGATAATCAGGAATAGAGTATCTTGAACGTATGTTGTTAAGAAAGCCAAGGCGCTGCGAGTCTTTAGCTAAGAGCAGATTAAAAGACTGGCGACTGCGGGAATTAGAATGTGAATTTTCCATTCTTTTCCAGTATCTGATAATTATAAGGTGTGCCCGAGCCTTAAGAGAAGGAATACCAGTTCCGGCTTTCATCAGGGCAGCTGGGGACCCCTTGGGAAGTCCTAAAATGCGCCTTAAAAATGATTCTGGACTACTTTGAGGCTGGCCAAAACGACATCGTTCCATCCCCATACTTTGACTCCGTACAAGAGATGGGGTATAACCTTGCTCTTGTATAGTTTCAGAACCGGATCAGTCAGGCAACCTGCCTTTAGCACATATACTAAAATTGGAGGTGGCACGGTCACTAGAGGGCTCGTCTCCTGCCTTGGTGAGCAGAGGCACACACCCACCCCGCCCGACAGTCTCAGGGAGGCTCACCTGGCAATCTCCAGTCTGGGCATCACACTCCCTCGCGTGCCTGCTGCAGTCGCAGGGCTCACACGTGCCCAGGTAGAGGCCGCTGGTGGTGCGTGTGTACCCGACATCACAATCCTGAGAGAGAGAGAGAGAGAGAGAGAGAGAGAGAGAGAGAGAGAGAGAGAGCGCACAGCAGGGCTCAGTGGGTGGAGGGGCAGCTGCCCTCCCTGTGCTACAGGGGGCCTGAAGGATCCCTCCCTTCTCCTCGCGCCTGCTGAGAGCCCTCCGGCCAGCCCACCCCAAGGGAAGAGGGCGTGACTCTGGGAAGCCTTGGCACACGGCTTCCACTCACCTGGCACGAAGGGCCTCGGTAGCCCGGAGGGCAGGTGCAGTCCTCAACCTCCACAGCCGTGTCCAGCCCCGTGGAATGGGGCACAGCGACATCCAGGTGGATGCCCGAGATCCTGCGGGAGGGAGACCACAACTGGCACCACAGCCCGCAGCAAGGATGCTCCGGCCACGGAACACGGGCGACCACGGCGGAGTCCTCCCAGCTCCACGACTGGCCAGCCCCATCAGGCTGAGACTTCTACATCCCGGGGTCACCCACCCGGCACAGGGGAGCGCCACCCCCCTTTCTCTCCACCCCCACCCCCCGTTACCTGCTCTCTGACGGCCGCTCAGAGTAGGAGGCCCGAATCATGAGAACATCTATGTCAGCCAGCGCCATCAGGAGGTGTTCGCGTGTGGCATTCTGCCCATCAGGACGACGCCAGGCTTGCTAAAGAGGAGAAGGAGGAGGAGGAGGAGACTGGATTTATACCCCCTTGCCCTTCAGTCGGAGTCTCAGAGCGGCTTACAAACTCCTTCCCCTTCCCCTCCCCACAACAGACACCCCCTGTGAGGCAGGAGGGCTCAGAGAGCTCTTTCAATTACTGCCCTTGAGAGAACAGCTCTGACAGAACTATGTCTTGCCCAAGGTCACACCAGCAGGTGCAAGTGGAGGAGTGGGGAATCAAACCCGGTTCTCCCAGATTAGAATCCGCGCACTTCACCACGACACCAAACTGGGGACGGCAAAAACAACTGAGTCTCCTGCCCCTTCCCAGCATGACACAGAACTTTCCTGCCACCCATCCGCTTTGAGGTCCGTGTGCTCTGAGCCAAGAGCTCCTGCTCCTCTGGGCCGCGCCTGGCCCCTGGCTGGCCTTACCTCCCGGAAGGGCACTGTGTAGGTGGTGGGCGTTCCCGACGGGGGGGCCGCTCTCCCCCTGTGCTCCAGGAAGAGGCCGTTCCCCTGCAGCAGCACGTCCGGCTGGCCGTGCAGCAACGAGGCGCCAGGAGAGGCCGTGTGGCGGATGGTGTAGCGCAGCTCTCCCCCATACGAGGTCACCTGCAGGCGGAGGCAGCATCCAAGACGGCGACACTTGCAGTCACGCATTCGGCACCTGGGGCCCCCTCCCACCCCGGCAGGCTGCTCAGAGACGCACCTTGTCCCCCCTGAAGCGCTCGGGGAGCACCCAGTAGTACACGTCCCGCGGCAGGGCCTGGAAGGAGGAGAAGGCCAGCTCCGAAAGGCCTTCGAAGCGGATCCCCTCGCTGACCGTCCGGGTGCTGGCCAAATTGGAGAGGGTGAACTGCCCCGTCTCGGCATCCTCGTACGTCACTCGCACCTGGAACCAAAAAGCACCGTCGGGGGGGGGAAGGGGGGGGACGACTGGCCACTAGAGCCCAAGCCGAGGTTTGTTCCTCCAGGCCCCGTCCTGGCCAGAGAGGAGACCACGCCCTCCCTCCCTCCCTCCCTCCCTCCCACGGCCTGGCAGCAGGGAGGCAGACAGGCTCAGTGGGCAGTACCTGGTCCCGGTGCCAGGAGGAGCTGGCACACTGGCGCGAGACCCCCATGCAGAAGCACTTCAGGCACCCCTCGGGGTTCTTGTGGCTGAGGTGGAAAGTCCCGCTGGTGCACTCATTACAGAGGCGGCCCATGACGTTGGGCTGGAAGAAAGAGACCGCGCTGGAGCAAGGGAAACAAGGCAGGCAAAGCCCCCAATATCGGGGGGGCCCCCCACACACACACAGGCGGTGGCCACAAGTTTAGGTAGCTTTTAGAAAGAAGGACTGGGCACATTCACGGGGGACAGGTCTATTGGCTGCAATTAGCCACAAGAGCTAGATGGAACCTTCGTGTTGAGAGGCAGTCTAGCCCCATATGCCACCGGCCAGGAACAAACAATGGGGGGGGGGGGTCATCAGAGCTAGTCTGAGGTATTCTTGTCAGCGGTTGGCTGCTTTGGAAACGGGATGCTGGATTAGATGGCGCTTCTGCCTGATTTAGCCAGGCAACTCTGATATTCTTAGATCCGGGGGGTGGGGGCAGACAGCAACCCCATCCTCCAGCCGGCGATGGGGCAGAAGTCATGGGCTTGCAAGGGAGGCCACGCACAGCCAGAGGAACTTTTCAGTGCATTTAAGACCAAAGGGGGGCTTTGTTCTCCAAGAGACAGAGAAAAGGCAGCGGGGGGGGGGGAGCACATGTGTGTTTGGGTGGAGGGAGGGAAGGTTCTTCTCCTCCAAGGAGCACAAAATCCACCTCGAGGCAAACAATCCTCTCAGCGAACGTCTTTTAATGGATTTGCACAGATCTCGATTTCTGTTGTTCTAATCTAAATTCTTCACAACTTGTACAGATACAGAGTGCTTGGGGAGGGACCCAGAGAGAAATATATGGATTTCAGCCAGTTAATAATCAGTTAATAGTAATAATTAAGCTCTATACGTTTATCAGCAAGACCGAATTAAGACGGTCTTGTTTCGCTTTAAGGACGTCTTTCTGAACTTGGAATTCAGGCCTTCGTCGGGTTCCGTTCCCAAGGCTCCCCCAAGTGTTAACCAGAGCAAGAAAGAACCCCGTGGCACCCTGGAGACCACCAGGGCCCGCCTGTGCAGAGGGCAGCGATCCCGGCTGGAGGCCCTGCCCGTGCCAGGCTTAGGCGGGAGTCACCCTGCATCAGAGGACACAGGAAACCCACTGGTCTTTAGGGGGCCACCAGACTCCCTTTGGGTTGCTGCTGCAACAGACTCGCCACAGAGACTCTCTCCCTGGAGACTCTCGCGAAACATGCGCCATGGCAAAAATCACTGGAGCGCCTACTGGGGATGAAGAAGCGGCCCAATGGGGACGTTTGCGCCTGTCTTGTACAGCAGGAGTTCAGCCACCCCCACCCTGGCACACCTGTGAGGCCTCCACATTTGATTCACCACGTTGACTGAGGGATCCTGAACCCCCTTTCCCCACAGGCCTGTGAGGCCAGCCGGCAAGGCAGACCCGGCTGCTCCACTCCGGCTTACCTTGCAGCGGCACGCTCCTTCGGAGGCCTCTCGGCTGCCTCGCTCGTCGCACCTGACTATCTCCTGCCCTGCACGAAGAGAACGGAAAGGGGGTCGGTGGGTTGGCAGGGGACTGACAAGCCCATAAGGGGAAGTCGGGGGTGAGGAAGAGAGCCACCGTGTGGCGAGGAGCGCAGGACGAGACATCCTGGAACGTTCTGCAAAGACGGTCTCACCCACCAGCCACCCAAGAGGCACACAGTGGAACATCCCCCACTGCATCCAGTCAGAAAGGGGAACCGAGCTCCGGCCCTCCAAACACAGGGTGCCGCCCCTTTCCTTCGCAGACCCTCCTATAGAAGGCTTCCTCCCACAGAAGCAATGCTCGTATGCCCCGCCCCAAATCATCTTGGACACGGCTTTGACTCACCCACCAGCATTTGGGGGAGGGGCGGTTTCACTCACCAATCCTCACGCACGCCCCACCGGGCTGGACGGGGTTCCCTTCGTAGCCAGGGGCACACCTGGAAGAAGAGTGCATCCGACAAGGTCAAGACCCACAGCTACCCACGTGGGAACTCCTGGCATGCATACGGCTTCGTAAGGAATATACAGCGAGGAAGCAGTGCACCGGGAGATCAGGTGCCTGCCGCCCCCCTGGCCCGCTCACCGTTCACAGCGACGGCCCGTGTAGCCGGGGGCACAGGCATCGCAAGTGGCCTGCCCGTCCGTGTCCAGGAAGCAGGTGCTGGAAAACCTGCCGGGGGAGATCAGAGCGTCACCGTCCGCCGCAGCCCCTCCACTCTCCCCCACAGGCACGGCTGGTGGGCCCAGCGGCCCCCACAATAAAATATGACTCTTGTGGAGAAAGCGTCCCCCAAACAGCTCTGCCTAGGGCCGGAAGGGCGCATACAAATCCGGCCTCAGCCAGCCACCCAATTGCCCAGCAGGCCTCAGGTGAGGGGGAACGGGGCCCCTCCCCAAGTTGCCCCAAAGCCCGCCCCCAGCCGCAAGCAGGAACGCAAGGAAAGACGTCTGCAGGCACCACAGAGCCCTGAACCCCCAGCTCTTCCCCACGGTCAAGTCTGGCGTCGGCTGACCTTGGAGGCCCGCACTCACCTGCGGGGGGCCTCCGTGTAGGGGCAGGGGCACGGGCGGCAGGCGGTGGGGGTGCCCTTGGTGGCGTCACCGAAGAAACCGGGTTTGCAGTGGTTGCACTGAGGCCCTTCCGTGTGGTGCTGGCAGTTCTGGGAGGAAGGAGAGGAGGAGGAGGAGGAGGAGAAGAGATTGGATTCATACACCCCGCCCTTCACTTGGAGTCTCAGAGCCACTGACAGACTCCTTTCCCTCCCCCTCCCCACCACAGACACCCTGTGAGGTCGGCGGGGCTGAGAGAGCTCTGACAGAAACGGCTCTTTTTCAAGGACAGCTCTTGTCACAACTATGTAGAGACAACAGAGAGATCACGGGAAGGATGCAAACAATGATGAAAACAACTGTGATGTAGTGTGCATGCGTACATCTTTATTACTTGTTGAAGAAACACTACTCACTCCAAAACAGCAGTCTAAATATATACCACATCACGGTTGTTTTCATCATTGTTTGCTTGTCAGAACTACGGCTTGCCCAAGGTCATCCAGCAGCTGCAAGTGGAGGAGTGGGGAATCAAACCCGGCTCTCCCAGATTAGAGTCCACACACTTAACCACTACGCCAAACTGGCTACACCAAACTGGAAGCAAAGGCAGTGTGAAGGGGGGGGGGAAGTAGGGGTGTTCTGATAACACCCTCCTGGGCTGTAGGGCCTGGATCCTATCTGGAGACCCCTATCCTGCACCCCAGAGCCCCCGCAGCAAAAGGGGTTCCTTGCTGGGGCTACGCCTGAGCCCCTCCTCCCACAGGCCAGACCCAAAGGCTGCCAGACTCTCAGCCAATGTTCCCTCTAAGCTGTGGAGTCTTCTGAGCAAAAATTCTACTTTGTGAGCTACTGGCATTAAAGTTGTGAGTGAGCAGTTTGGCTACTGCATAAATTAGCTTGCTGTGGAGCCCTCCTTCCTGAGCAAAGACAAAAATGTGTGAGCCGGAGGCTAAGAAACTGTGAGCTAGCTCACACTAACTCAGCTTAGAGGGAACACTGCTCTCAGCCCTCGGAGGACTCACTCCTGAAGGCGCTGGCATCAGGACAGGGGCCACGGATCCCCCGTGAGGGGGACTCAAAGGAACCGTGAGGAGGAGCATCCCTATTTGAGTACGCGTTCTGAGGGCCTAGCAGCTTGAATCCCCCATCCATTTTTGTGTGCATCTCTTGCCGCCAGTCCCCGGGGCTGCCTCATGTCTCTCCAAAGCCCTCCTCGTCTCCACTCCGTCCTGTCCCCACCTCTTACCAGGCAATGTCCGAAGACTGGGTCGCAGGAGGTGGCGTGGCCGTTGCAGCTGCAGCCGGCACAGGTGCCCAAGTAGCGTCCGCCAGGCACTCGCTTGAACTGGGCGTCACACCGCTCGCACGACAGGCCCAGGTAGCCGACGGGACACCTGCAGTGGACCAAGAGCAGCTGGAGGCAGGGGCACTCGCCAGGAGGAGGTGGCCCGTTTTGTGCCTCCGCTTGCTTGCCGCCTGCTCCTTTCGTGGTCCAAAACATCCCCGACCCCACGATAGAACCCGTAAGAGAATGACATGGTGCCTGAATGCTCCCTGCAAGGTGGACAGTGGCGCAGCTCTCTCCATGCCGAGACCTCTGCTCATCCCGGTCCTGAGCTGAAGCAGGTGGTGTTTTGCCCAACTGCTGCTGACTGCTGAAGCAACCCCAGCCCCTCTCTGCACTTCAATCCCCTGTTCAGTTGAGCCTCATCTTGCTTCAGTAATCGTCAAATTGTTGGGCTGCAAAGGCCGGAGTCTGGGTCTTCAGCATTTAGCAGGAAGGAAAGCTGGCCCCTTTGGCAAGAGGCGGGTCACAGAGCCATTCTCTGGGGTAGCTTCATTCCCCTGGAATGGCATACCGGAGCAGGTGCACCACGCACCATCACTCGCCCCGTTTCGGAAGGGGTATAAGACCATTCTATGCCAGAGGGTGTGACAGACTCCTAGACGGAACCACCTTTCTGCAGGTTAACCTATGTACTCTCCTGCAGCTGTTTTATATCTGTAAGTTCAACTGCGGTTTAAGCATTATAACAAAACTTCAAGGTTGTTCTTTAACAAAACAGCTCATTAAAATAGATGTTGTGATAACAGATTTACACCTAATTAACTGCAACAGCTTCTGCTTTTAGCCTGGAAATCTTTCCTTGAGAGTTTTTAATTAGTGATTACCAAGACGTACCCTAGGACTCACAATTATTGTTCATTAAAAATAATTAGCACTCGGTTTCAATGATTTTACTTAAGGTGACAAGCAGGTAGAGTTAAAGGATTGATCTCTTGCTCCTAGTTATCACCTTCTCTCTAAAAGTGCGCCTTTGGAGGGGATGGGCCAGGACAGGCTTCCTTCCGGTGGCTTCTAGTGAAACACACCTGGGATTTCGGAATGCCGGGCTTCCCTTTTGACACGCTAAAATCCGATGAACTTTACTCTTGAAGAAATTGTCATCATTAGGGATTTAGCTCAAGCTGAGAATGACAGGAGATCTTATTTTAATTGCATGTGTCCTCTCCAAAAGTACTCGCATTTGTCTCTATTTATCTTTTTAGTCTCTTGCCTAATAAAAACAGTTCTGTTTATTTTACATTAAAAAATCATTCACTCAAAAGAAGCTCTCTGTTGGTTTCTTGGAAGGGGATCTGACGTCTAGCCGACAGACTTCACTGTGCTGTCAGAGGTAAATCTCTCTCTGAGGGGTTTGACAAAGCAGACCTAATTGGAGTGTTTTTGTGCCGTGTTCAGCTAATGAGGCTTGACTCTCCAAGAGCAGAAATCAGTGTAGATCTGGGTGTAAATAAAACACTCTGTCACGGGGCATTCAGTGGACAGTAAACTTTTTTTGGCTGGCTGTATTGGTTTTCAAGTGTGTGTTTCAACTGTGTACTGGCTCTAACTTGTTTGCTGGACACTCATGTCTTGTTGCCTTAAACAGAGAGGCTTGTGTGTGTTGTGGTGGTGTTTCCCCCTCCCCCTCCTATAATCCCGGCCAAACGGCATTATTTATTTTCCTGGCAATCTCTGCCGTTAGATTCAAATGTTGTTACGTGTTGTAAACCTCTCACAGATTGCCTGATGTTACCATATTTTGGAATCCACGCTGATCGACTGAACGTTTTTATTGTACTTATAAAGTACACTGGGACACTTTGGGTCCCAGGGAGACTACAAATGAGGATGAGGATGATAACTATTGCTATTGCTCTTATCTTGTTAGCCACTTTGGGGAAAGAAAGAAAGAAAGAAAGAAAGAAAGAAAGAAAGAAAGAAAGAAAGAAAGAAAGAAAGAAAGAAAGAAAGAAAGAAAGAAAGAAAGAAAGAAAGAAAGAAAGAAAGAGGGAAAGAAGGAGGGAAAGAAGGAGGGAAAGAAGGAGGGAAAGAAGGAGGGAAAGAAGGAGGGAAAGAAGGAGGGAATGAATCATGGAGTTCCCTACGGGCCACGCCTTAGCTCACTTGTAGGGGACCTGAGAGCTCTCTTCTCTGCAGGCAACTCTCTCCCCTTCTAAGGGCCAATGGAGGCCCAGATTTGTTGGACGGTATATATAGGTCCCGGTCACACGGGAGGATTTGCCCCGCAAGAGGGACAGATCGGGGGCACATCACAAGGGCGCGATCACACCGCAACATCTGGGAAGCGGAGCGCACCCGTCCCCGATCCATCCCTTCTGGCTGCAACCGTGCATCAAAAAAAACCCCTAGACGAGACTACTACCTACCTGAAAATCCGCATCAAGGGCGGCCGTGGGATCACCGGCACGCCCGTCTCCGGCAGCATGCAAGGCCCCCGGGCAAACTGCGCAGGCGCGCACATGCGCAGTGGGCTGCCTTGCTCTCCGTTCCATGGCTCCCCCCCCCCGGGCATCTGATCGTGCCGGGGAGCAACCGCGCGATGGCTCAGGGGATCTGTCTGATCCCGCCGCCCCGCATCTCTTTTAATCCGGCTCAAAAAAGCCGTGCTTTGGCCGTGTCTTTTCCCCCAGTGTGACCGGGGCCATAGAATTGTAGAATCATAGATTTGGAAGGGACCTCCAGGGTCACCTAGTCCAATCCCCTGCATAATGCAGGAAATCCACAAATACCTCCCCTTCCACACCCCCAGTGACCATACCCAGAAGGTAACAAAAAAAACCCCTCCAGGATCCCTGGCCAAACCAGCCCAGAGAAAAATTGCTTCCTGACCCCAGAGTGGCGATCGGCCTGTCAGAAAGGGCCATGAGAACTAAGCCTTGAGGCAACCCTCCCTGCCCTCCCTCCCTTCTCGTGATCTGCCCGGGTTCACAGGATCAGCAATCTGCAGTAAGCAGAGGCACCCCCACACCCCCACAGGCACTCTCTGGGACTTGGCCCTCCCTGCCTAGAGCTGCCCCCAAGACTGGCAAGGGCTGCCCTCCACCTTCTCCGCGTGAGCACCTGCACTGTTCGACGGCGTGTGCCACGCCCAGGCCCGTGGCCTCTGTGGTGGTGGTATCCATGGCGATGTCGCTCAGGCCCACGCTGGCCATCCGGTTGTCGTAGACGGTCTGGATCAGGATGGCCTCCAGGTCCTGCAAGGCGAGCAGCAGCTCCTCCCGGCTGACGGGGGCGCCCGACTCCTTCTGCCAGTGCTCCTGCAGACGCAACAGCAAGGCAAGGGATGCAGAGGGGGGGCAACTCCTCAGTGGTGGGCCAGAGAGGGAGGGGCTATCTCTGTGCCCAGCCTGCCTGGGCAGGACAGATGCTGGGAAGCATCACAAGAGACAGGGCTGGGCTTTGTGTCCGACGACAATGCACTGGGGGCTCTTTGCACACCTGCAGGGCTACAGATGGCGCACCTCAGAAGTCAGGAAAGGGAGTGTGTGTGTGTGTGTGTGTGTGTGCGTGCGGCTTGGCACACTTGCTCGAGCCACCTGCAGGTACCTGGTACATAAGCCTTTTTCTATGGCGGAAGCCCCTGATCCCTGCCAAGGGGCACTGCATGATCTGGGATCTACAGAACAAAATGCTGCTGGGCTGTACAGTTGGCTGGGATGTCGTTTTGGAAGCGGGCCGGAGTGGATGCCTTCCAGACCCTGCCCAAGTCAGTAGCTCTGTGCTAGCTACAGTGGAGCCCCCCAAACTCTGAGCCCCAGTGCACGCGGGGGGGGGGGGAATGCAAAGCCGGAAGGGCTGTGGCTGCAGGCCCTTGTGCTGGGCTCCACAGCAGCATTTCACTGGCCACTGTGGGAAACAGGATGGGGGTCCGGAGCGGTCTGGTACAGGGGGGCATTCCTACACAATGGAAGGACGGCCAGTCGCGCGGAGGTTTCGGCACACGCAGCACCTGCCAGAAACACAGCCTGCCTCTTCCGGTGACCCACCTCAACGAACTGGATCTGCCGCTGATTCACCCCCAACGGCTGCGTGGGCACCTGCACCCGGTAGATGAGCTTCTGCCCGTTGCCCACAATGACGACGTTGGGCTTGTGCACTGGCTCCGAATGGCCACGGGCCAGGCCGTAGCGCACCTTGAAGCTGAGGAAGCCGCCGTAGGAGTCCACCTGCAAGCGGTTC